GTGGGGAAAGTGAGAAAGACAAAGAATTCGATCGAAATTCGGAAAAAAGTATCTATCTATCTATCTATCTATCTATCTATCTATCTATCTATCTATCTCAGGCGCTTCATATCTATCTAGCTATTTATCTATCTAGACCGTTCAGAAGAATTGTTTGGAGGCCGTGGTTGAAGCCAATGACGATTTTACTGAATAAATTTACTCTTTAGTATTTCAAGGTATTGTTGCGTAATTTTCGTAAATAAATCTGTTAAAATGATTTTGTTTTTGATTTTGTCGATAGCACAGTATCGTAGGGCGAGTTGAGAATCGTCTTTTAGAAAAAGAACACAATGACGCAATTCGCTCCGCCAATGTGGAAAAAGCATACTGTACTGCTTGGCATTCGCGCCAGAAGCCCGAATACTAACATTTCAGAGTGTTTCCTGTCAATCTGAAGACAGTGCTGAAGATTCGGAAAGAGTTGGATGAGTCTAATGGTGATTACGATGGTAGTGTTCTGATAAGAAAAGAATCCTGGTTCCGTGTAGAGTCTGAGGTCCTCACCAACAAATTCGGGAGGAATTTGTTGGTGAAGGCTTCAGACTCTACACGAATGGCGACGTTATACCTCCATTCCTCTTCCGAAAAGGCCTCAGACTCAACCCGGAGGCCTACATGAAAACTACAAAGAATGAACTTTATTTACGAGTTCAAATCTCTCTTAATGAACTGTGTTCCTGATCAAACCAAATTCATAAATAATTACATCGGTCGCACTACTACATGCCTATCTAGACCACTTACGTTACACCTATTCAAGCATAGCTCCATTAGAACCCATTTAAACACACACATAAACATACCAGGCTACCACCGAAATATACTAGTAGAAAATACAAGCATTATAACCTTATCCACATGTAAAAAGTAATTAAAAATAATGGAAGATTTTATAATAAAAAAGAAAAAGCGAACACGCAATAATAACGACGAACATGGCCACAATGTGCTGACTATGTTCGGAAAATAAAACATTCCTATAACTCTAGATAGAGACACACATCCCAAGTTAAAAAGTAAAAATAATATTATCCATTTGGACAGTTTCTACACACACTGGATCCAGAAATGAAAACACTTGCTTAAACACAAGAAAAATTAAATAAACAGCTTAACCTCAGTACCTTATCTGTCGTCTTTGATGAAACATATAGAAACAGAGGAATTTTGCCTAAATACAGTATATATATATATATATATATATATATATATATATATATATATATATATATATATATATATATTATGTTAATAACTATACTTGGTTAGTACAAAAAAATCCCGGATAATAGAATTTGCAAATAAAAATATATAAAAGACAATTAGGTATCTGGGAAAAAATTTGGAAAAAAAAAAAAAGAAAAGACGAAAAACATCCCAGTAAGCCGAAAAAATCGTCCAGTGCCGTAATTTCTAATAAAAAAAAACAAAAAAAAAAAACAAGCCAGTAAATAAGAATATATATATATATATATATGAAAATTTCTCAGAGTTAACCTGTAGAAAACACAATATTTATAAATATAAATGACAATTGGAAAACTGTAGTTATTGCTGACGCGTTTCGTCCAATGTGGACTTTCTCAAAGCAAAAAACGAAATGAATTTAATTAAAGAAAGTAACTAATAATAACAAAAAACTGAATGTTCTTAGCAACTGGAGGAATGTAGAGAACACTATTTTCATATTGTTAACTGAAAATAACGTCAGTTATTGTCACGTGTGGAGAATATTGTCATTATAATTGTGTTGGCGGGTTCAACCATTTTCTTCATCCACAACGCAAGAAGAAAGGCATACAAAATATACAACCGAAACAAAACTAATAACATAATCCGCAATAATAAATTACATGAAAACAGATGCATAATACTACCGACCAACTCTGTCACGTCCACTATTCAGAATAACCTATCCCATCTAAATAATCTTAGAATAGTTACAACCACTTCCAAAACCATTATGGATATACTAATATCTTCAAACACTAATAGCAATGATATTTCTGAAGCCGGCATTTATAAAATAAATTGCCAAAACTGTTCCGCCCAATATATTGTTGAAACAAGTAGAAATTTAAAAAAAAAACGCATTTATGAGCACAAAAGAGACCTCACAAAAAAAAAAAAAATTGGCTAATGCACTAGTCATACATATAAATAAATTCAACCATAATTTTGATTTTAAAAATGCTACACTCATAAAAAAAGAAAATAACTCACTCAGAAGGAAAATTCTAGAGAGTGCCGTCATAGAATATTACCCAAATATTAATCTACCCGCCAGTCTTTTTCCCTATTTCACCTTTCTTAATAAAATTACTGCTCTCCCAAAGAAACGTACACAACAATATCGTAAAATCAAAAGAAAATGGTTGAATCCGCCAACACAGTTATAATGACAATATTCTCAACACATGACAATTACTGACATTATTTTCAGTTAACAATATGAAAATAGCGTTCTCTACATTCCTCCAGTTGCTAAGAACATTCTGTTTTTTGTTACTTTAAAATTTTGTTACATTTTGTAGATTTTATTTTTGTTCATACCTTACCAAGTCACCATTCTTCGAATATTACTACCATTTATGGTTTGGGGATCCTGCTATATATTTAGAGATTCTTTATAAACCCAAATCAATTGTGAAGTCTTTTCTTTGTCTGTGCCATGTCCTTTAAGAACGTAGACGATCATGGCTCTCCACCTCTCTCTATCTCTTGCAGCTCTTAACACGTTCCTTGCCTCTGCTTCCTCCTCCAGACCACATTCTGTCATCCACTTGCTTAAGTCCACCAGGTATGTCATGCATTGTTTTTCCTTGCCTCTCTTTTCCTCTATTAGACCCGTGATCTAATCACTTGCTAGGTAAATTACGTTGCTACAGTATTTCTGCAACGAAACTTCTTCCTCTTCTTCTTCTTCTTCTTTTTCTTCTATGTACTATGTCCCTTCAGGATGTGAGCGATCAGGGCTCTCCACATTTTCCTGATCTTTTTCTATGCTTTATTTTTATGTACCATGTCTTTTAAAGACGTAAGCGATCATAGGTCCCCACCTCACTCTATCCCTTGCAGCTCCCAACAAATTCCTCGCCTCTGCTTCCTCCCCCAGACCACGTTCTGTCATCCACTTGCTAAAGTCCGCCAGGTATGTCACGTGTTGTTTTCCCTTGTCTCTCTTCCCCTCTATTAGACCTGTGAGTATCAGATTCTCCAGGACCTCTTTCCACCTTACGTGTCCCAGAAACTTCAGCTGCCTCTCCCTGATATTAACCCTAGAACACTAACCATGTGTATATAGTACCCAGCACAAATTTTCCTCTTTTTAATTAAAATTTTCAGTACCTAATTTTCTTACCTAAATAATATGTTTTTCAGTTCCTATTAATGTTAACTCAAAGTTTGAAGTGCCTGCATGTAAAATAATTCAAATTAAGATTTATATTTAATATTCTTTTGATATTTTCAAAATCGGGTATGATATAACCATGGTTAATAGTGGTGTAACTGTAATTGATGGTTAGTGTTCTAGGGTTAAGTATAAGCTATGTCCTTGTTGGTAACCCCTCTAAGATCTCATCTTTCTTTACACGCTCGGTCTATGATATCCTTAGCATCCTTCTGCAGAACCACATCTCTGTCGCCTCGAGTCTCTTCTTCATCTTTGAGGAAATCGTCCAACATTCGCTGCCGTAAAGAAGGACAGATGTCACGTAACAGTTCAGTATTCTTTTCTTTGTTACCAAAGATATCCTCCTGAATCGCAGTACTCTGCCTAGCTTTTTGAATGTGTCCTTGGCCATCCCAATACCTCTACGGATCTCAGTGTCGCACTTACCGTCCTCTGTCAAGACGCTTGTCAGATATTTAACCTTCCGCATCTGCTTGATTCTAGTGTTTCCGACCTTCAGATCGCATTTCGGGCTCGTCCTCTTACTGACGACCATACACTCCGTTTTCTTGTAGTTTATGCTTAGTCACTTCTTACTCTCCGTCGCTACCTTTCTGTAGGAGATTTTGTAATTTCATTTCCGTGTCTGCTATCAGCAGTGTGTCATCTGTGTATCTAATGTTGTTAAGATTGTGGCCGCAAATGGTAAATAACGGTAAGTCTACTGCTAAGAAATTCTGTTCACTGGGTTGTGCAAAACGTTTTTTCTCCACTGAAATATGTCTTGCAAGTGACTTCCAATAACTTGGACCGATTTTAAATGTGAATTAAGTTTAATAATCTAATGATTTGATTTTCTTTTTCTTTCAGATTTAACTTAAGTCTTTGGCAATTTCAACCATGGAAAGATTAACAATCAAACAACGTGTTAAAGTTTCAAGAGTGCAATTAGAAAAAATTGTTCGTAAATTCAAACAAACTGGGTTGGTGGTAGATATGAAAACACTATTGCGCGCTCTGAAAACATTACTGCAGTGAGAATGTGGCCGAAAATGCAGATACTCCTATTCATCATCTCGCGCATGAATTGAACCTCTCCAAAATAACGTTACATCGTTTCCAAATGCACTCTCGGTTGGTCCATTAGGTTGACCAAAAAAATCGCGCGAAATGCACTTCTGTTTGAACGTCCATATTCGTAATAGGTTTCGATAACTTTAACACGTTCATATGTGTATGGATGTATGTGTGTGTATATATATTCTAGTTTAAATAATCGCTATATTTATATAATTATATGTTTATATTAGATTTGTAACCTGTATTCGATATTATTTTGTTAAATTTTCTTGATTGCACAGAGGCCCTTTTATAAATGACCATCGGTTTTAGATGCACCCCCATGTCCCCCCCTTTTTGTTTTTTTCCTCTCTCATCTTCCGATCTTTAAGTGTAGATTATATCGTCTATTGTGTGTGTGTGTGTGTCAACACAAAATGTCTACTCTTTTCCAGTGTCGGTCTTTAATTTAGGTCAGCGATTCAGAAATGTATTAGACATCCGAGAATATTCATATTTATTTGTATCTGACTCCCCTCTTTAAAACTTCTCTCTGTTAGATGTTAATCCCCACCTTCACCTTTAGACCTTCCTGTTCTTCTCTCGTCTGTTACCCCTCACTATA